AAAATAAGAAAATTCTAAAGGAATTTTACGATACCGTCGAAATTCGAAACAACGAAATCTACGTACGATTTCCTTGGAAGCCTAATAAGATGGAATTAGACAACAACTACAAGTTAGCTCTTAGTAGGCTTCACCAGCTCTATAATTCCTTGCAATCAAAGCCCGAAATATGGTCGCAATATTGCAACATAATTCAGGAGCAACTTCAGCGTAATATAATAGAAGAGGTTCCGGAAGAAGTGTCAACTAGTTGTCCAATCTACTACATTCCTCATCAGGCTGTAGTGAAACTAAGCAGTACTACCACGAAAGTAAGAATCGTACTGGACGCAAGCTCGAAAAGAATCGGGCAGTTATCACTTAATGATGTACTTTATCAAGGACCCACAATTCTACCTAGTCTTTTGGGGATACTTATTCGTATAAGATTCGGGAACTTTCTCATCGCAGGTGACGTTGAGAAAGCTTTTCATATGATTCACCTGCAAGAATCGCAACGAGACGCAACAAGATTTCTCTGGTTGAAAAACCCAGAATGCTCTCCATCATCGTCAAATATACGCAAGATGAGGTTTACACGGGTGCCTTTCGGAACGAAAGCTAGTCCATCTTTGTTGGCTATGTCAATTAAATATTCTTTAGAAAAAAATAATCAAAAGAAACTTTGCAACGAAATTTCACGTAATTTGTATGTTGATAATGTAATACTGCTAGCGGACACAACTGAAGAGGCCGTAGATAAGTATCGTAAAAGTAAGGCCATTTTTAAAGAAATGTCTATGAACTTACGTGAATTCGTAACTAACGATGCTAATGTTAGAGCACAGATTTCGGAAGACGACAGATCCCACAGTGTAAACTTTAAAATACTAGGGGTTCCGTGGAATGCATCTACGGACGCACTAGTGGTAAAATCACAGCTACCTCACTTCGAGCTGCTCACGAAACGTAACATATTAAGAGCTGTTCACTCAACATTCGATCCACTGGGACTTTTAGTCCCCCTTTTGTTGCGTGCTCGCATTTTCCTGCAAAATTTATGGCTGAAGAAATACGAATGGGATCAACCCATTGCAGAATCGGACGTTGAGCAATGGAATAATATCGTTAAAAATACGGAAAATTTCGAAAAAGTTATTCCACGTAAACTTGGAATGCCGCAAGGTCAGGGCACATACGAAATCTGCACGTTTGCCGATGCATCAACAAATGCATACGCTACGTGCACTTATATCAGGCATGTTTCCGGTTCAGTAGTAGAAATATACCTTCTGTGTGCTAAGTATCGCTTAGCTCCCGTGAGCCAGCTCACTAGTACAAAGACAGGTACTATACCAAAATTGGAACTCCTAGCCCTTTTGATCGCAGCGCAATTAACAGATTTTGTTCGTAAGGAACTCGACCTTCCGATAAGTAAAATAAGAATCTTTTCGGACAGTAAGATTGCACTGCATCAGGTCCACTCAGGAAAAAATGCAGGCACATTTGTAAACAACAGAGTTAAGAAAATTCGTGCTCTACACACGACATGGGAAAACGCAAATATCGAAAGTTCGTTCTATCACGTTAATAGTACCGAAAACCCTGCCGACTGCGCAACAAGAGGAATAGATAGAGAAAACTTTCACACCCATTTTTGGTGGCACGGTCCGCAATTTCTCCTAAAAAACGAAAATTTATGGTCACAAACGGAACCGTTTCAAATGGTATATAACGATACGGAAGTAACCATGCAAAATTGCATGAAAAACGCACACGAAAGTTCATCAATTTTCCGCTATTCGCTTTCAAATTTCAACAAACTGAAACGTTCAGCGGCTTTTGTTCTCAAATTTGTAAAAAAGATCGGAAAAAATCGTTACCGTAAGGACTCACAAGCTGAGCAAGGATTCACTAGGTAAGGAACTTTGCGAAATTTCGGAATCTCACGAAATAAATGCCAAGGATCTCGTCATAGCAGAAAGGGCACTTCTTCGTGATCATTATTTAGGGTTATCCGAAAAACAGTGTAAGGCATTTGAACATTTAAGGTTAGCAACGGACAACGGAGTCTATCGTTGTCAAGGTAGACTATCGAACGCACATCTGGGCTTTGACGCAACGAATCCCATTCTTCTCGTACCAAATCACATATTAACGAATATAATCGTAATGCATGCCCACAAGAAATGTGGGCACCAGGGAGTAGGTGGCACACTCGCCGAACTTCAGACAAAGTATTGGGTACCCAAAGGACGGCAAGTCGTAAAGAAAATTATACGAAAATGCGTAACTTGTAGAAAAGCACAAGGAACACCTTATCAATATCCCTCTATACCAGCTTTACCATCAGAAAGAGTGACTATTTCACGTCCATTCGAAAACATAGACTTGATTATGCTGGTCCCTTTCTGGTTAAAACGGAAGGTAATCAGCACGAAAAAAGATGGGTTTGTTTATTCACCTGTATGGTTACACGAGCAATTCACCTCGAAATCGTAAAAGGACTCTCAGCCACCGAATTTGTAAACGCATTTCGGCGGTTTGTTGCACGTAGAGGAACTCCACGGACAATGCTATCGGACAACGCAACAACGTTCACTGCTGGTAACGATCTCCTTCGGACCGTTTTCAACGAATTAGAAACCTCGGAAGAATTTAAGAGCTTTAATTCACAACATGGAGTTACTTTGGAACTTTATAACTCCCCTCTCGCCGTGGAAAGGCGGCTTCTACGAAAGGTTAATAGGTTCGTTAAAGTCATGTTTACGTAAGTCAATACAAAAAAGATTCCTCTCCGATGAAGAATTTCACACCGTCATTACTGAATGTGAAGCTCTTGTAAATAGTCGTCCATTAACCTATGTATCATCGAATATCGAAGACGGAAATCCATTACGTCCAATAGATTTCTTACATCCGCACGCGAAAATTTCTTTGTGGAATTTTGAACCAGACTATGATCCTAGCTATCGTCTTATTTCTAATCGCAGTGAAGCACTCCAACTTTTAGACGAAACGAAAGAATCGCTTGCGAAGTTTTGGCAACTTTGGTCCAATACGTACCTTACCACACTACAAAACTTCCACCTACAAGAATGTCGTAAAAAGTCTCGAAAACTCGAACCAGTTGTAGGCTCCGTCGTACTCTTACAAGATCAAAGTTCTCCCCGCAGTCAGTGGAAAATGGGGATAATTCAAAAATTGCACCCAGGAGAAGATGCGCAAGTGAGAACCGTAAGCGTACGTTGTCCTAGCGGAAAAGTAATTAAAAGACCAATTAATATGCTCATTCCCTTGGAATTATCGGTAACGGAAGATGAATCGGAAATGGACGTAAGAGAAGAAAGAATGAACTCCAGCTCACAATCGGAAAATTGCGGAATACGAAAACAGCCGGATCGTAAAGTTAAAAAGAAGGTGTCTTACGCAGAATATACTAACATAGTACCTTATAATGCACCGCACAAATCACTAAACCGGTTAGACTATAGCACTTTACTAAATTTAGTTATGATTCTCGCAATCTGCGGAACAGTTTCTTCAAAACATGCAAGCGATACGAATATAACGAACTTAAAAGCGAAATGCATAAAAGGAGGCGTCTTTCTCGATGCACTTTCTCCGTTCACAGAAGTTCAAGTCTGTACAGACAGACATTGTGTACAGGCTACCGTACTCGAAAACGAAATAAGCATCATGTTTCCTGCAGAAGTATGCTTACACGAACATAACGTACTAATTAAGGCCTAAATCAGGGAAGGAAATCGTAACAACTAGTATTTTGTGCCCTCCAAGCCCTTTTTGCGAAATGATCGATTGTTACTTCTGTCTCGTAATGATGGCAAACCCTGAATGCTGGCCTAAGACAGCGATTGCAATGATCGGCATTCTCCTCTACTTCCTTGCTCTCTCCGCCGTACTGACGCTATCGCTATGCCGACGCCTCGGAAGAAGCTGCCGCACGCTCCTCTCCTTTTGTTTTCGAAGTGTCTCTGCGCAACAGTTTGCAAACTCGATGGAAGAGCTTCCATTGATTTCCATCGATCGTCCTCGAAGGACGTTTCAAGAGGTCTTCTTTCATTAATATCGTAACTTTGTTCGCTATTGCTTCGATGTTTACACTTACTCAATCTTGTCAATTGACATTTCCCTATTTCAATGGAGGCTATTTTTTGCTCAGGAAAAGATTCGAATTATTCTACCGTAACTACGCAGTCGTTTAAGATTAGCCCTTTAGCTCGTGAAGCATGCGTCGTAATCTCCTTCGAAATACGCGATTCTGGAACAAATTAAGATCACCCTTAGTGACGTTATCCTCGTATGCAATAAAGAGATATTGTATTTCTCTCACGAAACTGTTACGAAAGTCCAATCTCGTAAGAGGTGTCCCTTGAAAGGAAGTTGTGTTGGAAGGAAATGTGGAGCAGTAAACGCCACGACCCTTGTCAGCGAACTTTCAGAAGCTAACGCTTTTCCCGGAATAACGTACTGTACGGAATCATGCGGGTTCTGGGGATGTAACTGTGGCTCCCTCTTCCGGATGTCTTTTTTATAGAGTTTACAAAAAGCCAGTTAGTACGGAAATATACGAAATTTTCCAATGCCCTACTTGGTACGAAACCGTAAACGTAAGTCTGGAAATCTCTTTTTCGAGTGGTAAAACGCGTAAATATTTCCTGGCTCTCCAACCAAACGTACAAAAGACTATTTTTCGATGACATCATATCGATCACCAATTTAGCAATACCGCCCATTCCTCTCCTGAACTCTCTTTTCATTCGAAAGAATTCCAGTATTGCCATAGTCCCATCGAATACACAGTTCGCATTCGCCTGCGCGAATTTAAATTCTACGCAATTGGAAGAATGTACAGTGAAAGATACTTGCAATTGTACGCCAGCGCAAGACGAAGTAAACTGTTACTGTACAGATGATCACATTGAAGACATGTTTAATTTGCAATCAACTCTCCCTCTTACGTACCCTAATTTCGTACTTGCACCGAGTTTGATTTCTAGAAATAGTCCAAGTTTACAAACGCAACTGGCCTCTCTCGAAATATCGATAGCTCTCAACATATCTAAATCTCGTATACGGAATATTGTTAATCAATTTTCATGCTCAGTTTCGGTTTCTACCTCTACAAGGATGTTACGGATGTTTGAAAGGGGCGTCAGCCAAATTCTCTTGCCACTCGAGCATCAATAATGTTCTTGCACAAGTGGAATGTTCGACACAATCATTCGCAATTCCGTGTTCTCGTAATCGAAAAGAAACAACAATTCGATTTTTCTATTCGAAAGCTCAAATAAACGACAGTTGTACAGTTGTTTGTGGACGCAACACGATGGTAGTCGAGGTTTTGGGAAGTCTCAAATTTACGAAACACTTTCGTCATCTCCCAATATTTTCGCAGCTCGTAAAGCTAGAAGATCACCCCGACGAAAATTCGGAATTTTGGTTCCCCGATTTTTGGCATCTACTAGACGTAATCGAAAGCTACTTCATTTATTCAAACGCGATACTATTGAGCCTATTCACAGCAATCCTTGTCACATTTCATATGATGTCGAGCTTCGTTTCCCGCAAAAGGTCAGGGTCAATTAGCACCATGACGACAATTCCTTTCTTGTTTCCCTTCACCGTAATTTTTTTGATTTTAAGATTTTTCTATCGCATCGTGATGCTGTTATTCCACACCATTTTCAAAGGAATTTTTCGAACCCCTCGAATTTGCCGTATATAACTTGAAGCTATTCGAATTTCGCATATTTACGTACCGTTTTTCATTTCGAACATTTTTATTAGAAGCCTTTTTTTAAGAATGTCATCCATCCATTCTGATAAGGATGACATGGAGTTCGTGGACGAAACGTCTTCCGGCGCACGCAGTAATGAAGCTCCCTCAGGCGTAAACCCAGCTGTAGCGGAAAATTTGTCAGTTGTCCTTCGGGATCTCATCTCGGACCTTTCTCGACAGCTAGATAATCTACGGAAAGAAGCTGACTTGAAAGAGGTTGGTAAGCCCCATTTTCCGAAAGCACGCAAGAGACCAAGTTTCTTATAGAAATAAATATAAAAATATAAATCGATTTCTTTAAGAAACGGTCCTGGTCTTTCTCCCGCTATCGCGGTCTCGTAAAAAAGAGACATCGAAAGCGTAAAATGGTCAGTCACGTACATTGACAGCAGGACAGAGTATATCTCCAATATTCCAGAAGGCTGCTGAGGACGCTCGAAAAGAGGTAAAGGAGATCGAAGATCGCCTCCGTGCACTATTGGAGGGAGCACCAGTGACACCAGGAACAAGCACCCAACGTTGCAGAAGCCACTCCAGTCGTTGCTGAGTCGCAGGCAAACTTGGTAGCAGTTACAGGACAATTCGGACATGACCCTCCACAGTCCTCCCAAGGGTCCGCAGGCATGTGGGTTGAAAAAGGAAAATGCAAATTTGCTTTGTGGATTCATCAACCCACCAGTTTGCAACCGATTGCGATGTTTATCCGACCCTTGCCGACCGTAGGGACAGAATGCGTCAATTGAAAATCTGTTTCAACTGTTTTCAATTGCGCATTGAAGCAAATCACGAGGCCAAGTGCTCCAGAGTTTCTTGCTATTATTGTACCAATCATAAGCGCCTTGACCAAGTAGAGCATCATGTATCAGCTTTATGCCCATACATGTTTCCGCAGTAAGGTCGATTTAGTTGTTCCGTAGGTAATCACGGTCGATTATGATTATTCAATGATCATTTTATCGTTTCTTGGAAGATTATGGACTTTTTATCGGTCCTGGAAGATTACTGACTTTTCATGGTCGAAGTCGATTTTTTTTGGAAGATTCCTACTTTGTATTGATAAGTCGACTTAATGTCCTGCAGAATTCACAAATTCTCGCTGACCCACATGTCGTTCCGGATTGTCAGGGATCACGGTTGCGCTCGCGCCCGGAGAGTGGCTTCCGCCAAATCGTAACATTGCGCACTACGCCTCATGTGTTAGCTGGAGTGTTCGCTCCTACTATCGGCATGATAGAAAGTGCGTTAGGGAGACGCCCTGATGTTTGAGTGGCATATAGTCGCGCAATCGGTCAGGTGTGGAGCCCTCGTAATAAATTATTTGTTTTATGGCATAAACTCTCGCGGGCGGAGTATCGTGACTGACGTCACGAGGAACGAAGGAGGGAGGCGGAGCGAATAATACAGGATAAAAGGCGATGAGTCATTGAAATAAGTTCTCTCTTTCATTCTTCCATCGCTGTCATGGGATTATTCGACTCTTTGCTGTTCGTCTAAAAAGATTCTGCTGTCATGAGAGTCATAATAAAGCAGTATGGCACAAAGTCTTGAACCACCCCAACTCAGTGCGAGTACGAACATGGTGCATCGGCGAATGGACCCTCTACCACATTGCTTTCACAGAGTCGTAAGTTTCTTTCCCTTTGCCGTTGCAGCGGAATCGTACCGTAAGACAGCCTTTTCCTTGTTAGCGGAATAATGTTCTTTAGCAGAATTGTGATGCCATGAGTTGGCTCGTGGCATCACAGTTCTGAGAACTGACTTGACGTTTCTGTTTTGGTTCTTATATTCAAAGCTAGCTTTCGGATCATGCATGAGGTACACCGAACACCAGAGCGTCGGTCGGGTGATCCATGAAGGATACTCGTTACTTGCGGCTAGTTGAGGACTAGTCAGCATTTTACGTTTAGTTGTTTTTCAGCGGCTACGGATAGGCCACATTCATTGTCGAGAAGACGTTGGATAACTTATCAAAAAACCATCAGGCTTGCGCATACCAGAAATACGCAAGCGTTACAGCACCCCTATAGCATGTGACGAAAGGCACGATTTACAGTAACGCAAAACGAAAACATTCGCTTTCACATACATTTTCTTTATCGCAAATCCTTCGCAAAAAAACATTCCCATATCGTATTCCTTGCGGCGCAATCCTCCGCAAAGAAAACATTTTGAAGCTGCTTTCTTTAAGGCGGGAAGCTTTCTCGAAAGAAAACATCGTTATCTTAGTTATAAAAGCTTTCTGCTTTCAGCATCCACATCCTGTCTGAGCATTCGCTACGGTCATACACTTGCGTCACACACAGCCAACTTCGAAATACTTTGCTTACCAAGGATGAGTTCTTCTCATCCTGAGCTGACTACTCCTAAGCAACGTCTTACTAGGCATCTAAACGACGTCAAGGATATTATAACGGAATGCGATAAGTATAACGAGGGATGGCAGTTCCCACCTAGTCGTAAAGAACTTTATATCTTCATACGTACTCAACGTAATATCGTAAATAGTGTGATCTCGAAACTCGAAAGAAAGCTCGATTCCATTTCAAAAGTATACGACGAAACCTTGGGTAAACTTGATAAAGACACAGAGGCAGCCTCGCAATTCGAAAAATACTGGAACGAAAAAGAAGGTGACGAAACATTAGAAGGCGCTCGCGAACTGATCCAGAGTCTCGAACTTCGGGTAAATGAACTAGACATCCAAGAAATGCGAACTTCGTACTCCGACGAATTCGATAGTCTAGAACATCAGCGCACTAATAACCCTGCCTTTATTCAAACGCAAACCCAGCGGTCTACGACCTTCTCTCCCGTCGCAGATGTTGAGTTAAGTGATACGCCGCAAAGCCTACCAGCGCACTGGTATCGTAAGGAGCTCCGTATACCGGAATTTTTTGGCGATCCGACGCAATTCGAACAGTTCTGGGAGATATTCTCGGAGCTCGTGCATAAGCAGCCTTACAGCGACATCGAAAAACTTACGATTTTGCTAGACAAATGTAAGGGCGAAGCAGCAAGAGCTCTAAAATTTATTCCTCGTAAAGGTTCTTCGTACCAAGATGCCGTAAAACAACTTCATGATCAGTTCCATAATGAGGAGCTGAATGTGAAGTTGCTGTTAGAGCAGCTAGATAAAATACCGCAATCTTCAGAAAATGCTTCGCAATTACGAGCAACACTCAACGACGTAATGGCTATCATTGCTCCTCTATCTAGGTTTGAAGGTCACATTGACGCGCTCGAATATAAGGCCAAAGTGCGAAGAAAATTTCCACCCAGCATTCAACGGAAGTTGCTGTCGAAAGAGTACGACGACAGCAATATGTGGGGCATGGATACATTGATATCCGAAACTCCGTAAAGTCGTAAAAAAGTGCGAAATAACTCAAGTGCATACGGAGCACTTGTTCAGCAGTACTCCGCAAACTACAATCCTTCATACCCAAGCTAGCGCTACTGTGCAATACAGCTGCGCT